CATATTCAAAGGAAAGGCTGGAGGCTTTGCAAATCTTATCTGAACACTAAAGAGTTAAAGTTTAACACAACTACAAGAGTTGGGCCAGGCTCAGGCCGTGCTGGGGGGGCAGCTGAGGTGTCAATCAGCCTTTCTGGGGCTGGGCTGCAGCCCCACACTGCTCATGGCCACCCGGGCAGGCCCGGCTCGTCCAGCAGCAGCAAGAATCGGCCTCTCCCCCACGCCAGAGCCGCAGGCCCGTGGAGGAGGAAGCTGTGAAGGTCTTATCACAAATCTTTTTCTCTCCCCGGCCATCAGGTCCCCCTCGTTGGCAAACGGGGCCCAAGCGGCCTCCCGAGCCTCCCCCCCGCATGGGGGAGGGGGAAGCTCGGGTTGATGTTACCTGCTCAGCCACCGGAAAGACAAAGAGACTCAGTTCCGGATTACCTTCCTCAAAATGTGTGTGCACGGAGAGAACTAACTTTCTCTAATTGGCTGTTGCAGGTATCCCAACCCCCACAGAGGAAATTCCCTTAGGAAGAACCTCTTCTGAGTTTCTTCTTCCTAAGTCAGCCTATCACAGAGGTGGTGTAGAGTGACACTGGAAAAAGTATGGAGAATTATTAGGAAGCTGATAAGGAATAAAGAGATCAAAAGTGATATCTTGAAAGACATCAAGAGGCAGAGAATATGCATTTTGGGGTTGAAAGCAGAAAAGGAGTGATTTTTGCATGGAATTAAAGGAGCTAGAGGGATGACAGTAAGATACTGCAGCTGAAAGAAAGTAAAGATGTCGTTCTGGTGATCATTAGAGATGTTTTTCGTGAAGTCAATCAGCAACGAAGTAGAAAATTGCAGTTTAAAGGACTAGAAGTCCTTATTTCTACAGGACATATAAAAGGGGAAAAAATCCTTTAATAAGTAAAGTAGAAATAAGAATAAAAAAAAACAGCTCAGGCATAAAGACAAGAATTATGTGTGTGTCTGTAGGAAGGACACCATCACCACGTAACAGCTCCTTGTGTAATGCTTATTTTGCTGTGGGCAGAAAGCCTCTGGAAGTTTGTGTGTGGCTCAGAGACCCACATGAATTAAATGTTTGGTTCAGTGATGGTTATGGGATTGTGCTTGGCATCACTCCCTGTGCAGATACATAGGGTCAAGCTGAAGAGAGCAGTGACCATCCCTTTATGGCTAGGCACAGAACCAAAACAACTCCCTTGTGTACATATTCAGGGATCATGAGATCTGAGAGTAAAGACCTTCTCTGGGAATATTGGATTATGTCTATATATGATATTAGATTTGTTTTTCAAAGCACAAGAAGCTGAAGAAGCAGCAGAACATGGAGTTTTAGGGATGAAAGAGCACAGTGGGAAGAGCTTCCCAGTCTGGTGGTGACAGGACAGGATGGGATGGGACGGGATGGGATGGAAAAAAGGCTCCAATTCTCCCTGAGCCAGGTGGACTGCAGGTCAGAAGGGGATGATAGAAGGCTTCCTAATATTAATGTAAAAGCTGAGATAAAAGCTGAAAAGCAGAAAATTGATAAAAACTTGGGGTGACAACACCAGAGGCAAGGCCTGAACGTACTCAGAGTTGAAGTTTGGAGCTGCAGGTCAGTGTTGAAACAGCATTTGGCAACAGAAATGCAGCAGGACCGAGAATGTATTGGCAGAAGATGATTTCAGCAGGTGCACAGTTTGACAGCGGTAATAAAAAAAGGTAATAATCATGTGGCAGGTAGATGTTAACTTCACAGAGGGGTGCTTATTAAATCCAAAAGTGTTCACTTTAAATAAAAAAATGTGGCAAAGTGGGGGAAATATGAGTTGGGGTAGGATAAGAAAGTCAACAAAATAACCCCTGGAAAGGAGTTTCCATGGGCAGATTTAAAACATAACTCAAAACTGTTTCTAAATGAGAAACACAACAGCTTCCATGTTTCTAGAAGAACAACATGTGGCATTGCTCTGGACACTGGGTGGAAACAATAGAATCTTTGACCAGCAAATTCTACAGCGACTCCCTGGGAACAGAAATGACACGTCTGGATGATCTGCCAGCAGCACAGCCAAAGCCCAAAGCTGTGGGGAGGCTCAGAGTAGCTCTAAGGGACAGCAAGGTGGAATCAAATGGAATGATTTTCAGGGAACAGTTGGAATCTTACTAGTCCATGGCACCTGCGGGCAGGAAAGGTATTGAAAAGGCTTAGTACTTACTAAAAGTGTTTAGTATTTATTAGAAGTACTTTTGATTATGACAGTGCTTTGACACCATCACAAACAATTCTGGCAGCAGCTCCCTGCTGCAGTCTGATTCCCTGGCCATGGATTTCCCTGTTCCTTCCTTCTGTGCTGGCTCTGAGGTTCTCACAGCTTCATTCCTGTCACTGTCACACACAGTGTGTGTCACAGTGGGAAGAGGAACACAAATGACACGAACCTGCCCAAAAAGTGGAGCAGAGAGACAGAGCAGTGGGTTGTCATCCCGCAGTGTGGCTGTAAAGAATGTAAAGGGTTGCTCTTCCTCTCTAGGATTTTGAGGTAAAAATCAGACAAGGTGACAACAACAACTTTTCTCCTCTGCTTGTAGCTCTGTGGCTCAGCCAACACAGGTGCTGGGACACATCCTCGCAGTGGGCAAAGGGAGAGCTGCTGGTCTGATTTCATCTTTTTCTTCTTGGTGTCTTAAAAACCAGCAGTAAAGGAGCACATTCCCTCTTCTTTCCCTCTGTTCTACCTTTCCCTCCTGCCAGAGAGGCACCGCAGGGGGAAAAAAGCCAAAGAACACATTTTTCTGCCGTTGCACAGGGCTCGTTTCACACTCAGGCAAGACAGGAATGTTCAGCAAAGTGAAGCCATGTGTCTTGGGCACTTCCAGGGCTGTTCAGCTCCACATTGCAGGGATCATCTGGAGTGTAGAAGACTGAACAGGGCCAGGCTTTGCTCACAAGGCTTTAGAAGGTGACATCCTCAGGTGTAGTAAACTTAAGAGCAGTCACCTAAGAGGGAAAGAGTTGGGAAAAGCTTGGACAAGAAGCAGGCATTGCTGCAGAAATAAGACACATCTGCAGTGCATTGAATGTTAATGCTTCTAAATGTGCTCACAGAGGGGTTTCCCATCACAGCAGGGACAAAAATGCCCAGATAAATGGGTAAGTGCCCATATGGTCTTCAAATTGTAAAAACGCTGATGGGGAGAGAGGTTGGCAGGAGATGAATAAAGATGATGTGCAGAAAACAAAAATGAGAAAAGTGCTCAAACAAGAGAGAGCAGATGAAACTGCTGTGCTGTATTAGGAGTCACCATCCCTGGAGCTGTTCAAAGTGTGTGGATGTGGCACTTGAGAACATGGTTTAGTGGTGGCCTTGGCAGTGCTGGGGGAAAGGCTGGACTCAGTGATCTTAACGTTTTTTCCAATTTTAATGATTCTGTGATTCTAAGCATGCTTATAGCAGAAAATAAGAATAGCTAGGGAACTGAGGAGTTCTACCTTAAACTCAAGGTTAGGTAAAGTAGTGGGTTTTGAAGGAAGGAGGAGAAAAAAGAACTTCCATGGATCTAACTAAATAAAGTAAACTTGAAGCAAAGACATAGCAAGAGGCAGACAAGCTTCTGTTTTTTACCTCAGTGTATCTGCACAGCCCTGAGATTACCATGACAGTGAAGATACAAGTGTGCGTCACACCTCAGCTCTGCCTTGCCATTTTAATCCTCACCCTGAGCAGCGGAGGCACACGTAAAAACAGCTTGAAACGGAGCAAAGCATCCTCAGGAAAGGGATCTTTCCCACATGTAAGAACTTGCTGTGACAGAAAATTCCCAGCTTGCAGCCAGACCTCAGCACTGGGACTGGTGTAATTGCGGCAGGCAATAATTACACAGCTAATGAGGGATGGGGGTGAAGAGGCTGAGGCAAAGGGAAGGCGGCACTGGGGATACCGCAGAGAGTGAGAAGAGGACGCAGCAAGAGGCTGAAGGTGAGATACAGGCTGGAGTGCTCCGGAACTGGAATTCACGGGTACACACAGAATCAGAGAGTAGTAGGAGTTGGAAGGGACCTCTTGAGAAGATTTAGTTCAAAGCCTCGCCAAGGCAGGGTCACCTGGAGCAGGTAACACAGGAACACGTCCACACGATTCCGGCAGGGCTGAGGAGGAGGCGGCGGCGTGGTCCCAGCCCGACGGGGCCGAGCTGACGGCCCGGCGGGGCCGAGGGCGGCTCTCGCACCTCAGCGACCCCAGCCGGCGAGAATGGCCTCAGCGCAGTAGTGGCGGGAAGTGCGCGCAGCCCCGCCCCGCGCACGCGCGCTTCTGCGCGACGTGGAGACAGTGGGGAGGGGGAAGGGGTGGCATTCGAAAAATGCCCGCGGCCCCCCATTGGCCGGCGGCGTCACCTGGCCACGCCCCCCCGCC